TTAACTTTTCACCTCCTCTTAATTTACAACCAATCATCTCTTCATCCCATGTCCCATCTCTTTTCTATAAACAAATCTATAAAGCCTTGTCATTTCAGTCCTGGTGTCAGCAAAAGTCCATTAAGGGTTACCAGAAATAACACATCTATTTTAACCTTGATCAAATAAACCAAGTTTATAATCCTTCCTTTTACTTCTAACCATCTTAATCTTTTGTCCATGCAAGGAATGTCATAGAACTTGATTTCTTCTCATTTCTTCTTTACCCCTTCTCACAAGATTCATCCAAGCTTTAACAAACCTCTTTTGTAATTCCAATATAAAAGAATTATCCAGGTCACTTTCTTGGTTTACTATTTGTAATTCTCTTTTGATTTTTAAAGCATCAACTGATTTATTTTGTATGTCCAATGAAACATCCATGTCATTCTTGTAGCCTGTCATTTGGCGATCCACTTTTAGTGTAAACTCTGTCTCTCTTGTCAGATAAAACTTGTTCCTCTTCTGCCATTTCTTCCAAAACATCTTTTGGACACAGTCTATCCATAGAAGCAAAAATTGCTATTGATATTATTGATATTAACTTCTGATTTCGTTTTTCAAAAGTATCCTTCAGTATTTCCAATGTTATATTTTGCATCATTCTGTAGCCGTTAATCAGGTTTATGCATTCTTCTCCTTTAATGAAAATCTTTAGTTCCCTCTAGTGTCCAATTTTTGAAATTATTTATCTCTATTATGTTCAAAACAAGTCCGTTATGACAGTCCATTTGTAAGTATGAGTTCTCTGTAAGTTGAAAGTTCTTAACCCAGGGACTGCCTGTAGTTCTTTTTCCAACTAACAAATTTTATTCAAAGGTAGAAGCTTATGCCTTTTAATAAAATCTGTTAATCAGAAAAGGTGCTAGCAGACACTTTTTTACTTTTTATGACTGGAAAAGACTGAGCTAAACAGTTATGTTTATGCAATCACCTGACCAACATAAAACTAGACATGTACCTACTCTGCTTTCATCCCCATACAAATGTCATCCATGGAGGAATAACCACAGAGCTATTCAATGGTACTAACAAGGAGGAAAAAAAAACCTTAAATGTCCATCTCTAATGGCCCTGGCCTCACAATGAACACAAGGCAGAACTTACATTCTCTGAGGAGGAATCCCGCCAGACTTTCAGCAACCCAGACTCCACACAGGTGATAAGGGAACTACAAGGAGAGGGGGGAAAGGCAGAGAAAATGTCTTTCAATGCAAAGATACGGAAACACAGAAGGGCCCAACCTGGTTTGGCCTTCAAGAAAGCAATGATCTGGCTTTCCCCCTAGGCCCTGGGGCTAGGATGTTGATGGAGCTAACATGGTGTGTTTTATTTTTGCTTTAAGTATGATTTTTTTCCTAATTATATTGTGTTTTTATTCTTGTTTGTCACCCAGATTACCTTCTGATAGACAGGTGACGATATAGGTTGGTTTGTTAGTTAGTTAAATAAATAAACAGAGAGGGCATTCATTCAGTAGCCAATCAAATGGAAGGTTACTTCCATTTGAGACAATCTATGTTTTGCAGAAAGTTACATTATTTTATAACTCTTGAATCAGAGTTGGGCAACCTCTGGGGGTCCCAGGGCTCTATTTGACATTGGGGAGAGGGATTACAAAAAGGCAGATGTGAGCAGGGCTGGATTACAAAAAGGCAGATGTGAGCAGGGCTGGGTTTGGGGGATGTTTGCAGGAATTTTTAATCTGTAATCGTGAGATGCCTATTTTTTGAGGGCAGAGAAAAAATCAAAGGGGTTCACTCTTACCCATCAAGGACAGCCAAGCCACAAAAGGGTCCTTCACCTCCCAGACAGTCTCGGGATTCAATAAACTTGCCCTTCTCGGTGCTGAATAATCTAACTGATCCATCAAGGCATCCTACAAAGATCTGTGTGAAAAAGAAAGACAAGAGGAATCATTTAGTGAGCTAGGGACCTGCAGAGTTAACACCTCTTAGAAAAAGATTATAGTTCAGTGGTGAAGAACATCCTGACCAGGTAAGGTGACAAGTTCAACCTCTGACATTTTGAATTAAAATGATCTTAATAAGATAGAAGAAGGAGAGGAAATAACAACAACAACTTGGGAAGGACTGATCAGTGGATAAAAATGCCAAATCCAGTTTAAACATTTCGCTGACTGTGGAAGGAGAAGGAGAAGGAGAAGGAGAAGGAGAAGGAGAAGGAGAAAGAGAGGAGGAGGAGGAAGAGAAAGAGGTGGTAGTAGTAGTAGTAATTTCTACGGATGTCATGACTTTCCCACCATAACCAGCCGTCTCCCCAAACCACGCCATCTCCCTTTGGGCGGCTGACCACATCACCTCCGATTCATAGGAATCCCCCCAACACATGGCAGTGACAGCTTCTTGTCGATTGAGGGACATTTCCCCCATCTTATAGTTCGTGGCCTGTTTCTTCTGCAGGTTGACCCCTAAAAGTAAAAGAGAGTATATTGCTTGGCAGGCAGGAGCAAGAAAGAGAAGCAGGGTAACAGCCAGCTCCCCCACAGGACCGCCACCAAGAGAAGGTGTTGCAGGCTGATGGAGCAACTGGCCCCTTTAGTTCTCTCGGCTCCAGGTTGGAAGGCCCTTTTGAGCTCCCTAGCCAGTCAATACGGACGGAGCCAGAAGCATCAGCAAATGAAGCGGAGAGGCTGCTGTGATTTCCTTCCCTCCACGCTCCTCCACTCTCCCCTCCCCAATCTCTGCTCAACTATTCCCCCTCGCACTCTACACATGCCCAGAGGCCCCGTGCCCAAGGCGCCCGAGCACGTTTAGGAGGGGCGAGAACAGAAACCCCCTCCCCCGGCCTCCCCTGCCCATTCACTGCTCCCTCTATCCGCAAACCCTCCATTCCAGACCCACCACAACACGCGGCTAGTCCTCATTACCTTTCAATATGCCCGTCTCGGATCCCACCCACACGTGGTTTCCCCGCGCGGGAGACGCCATGTCTGCTGCCGCGCCGCCTCGCAGCCGTCTGAGCTGTTTTCGAGCCGGACCGATTAGAGTCACGGACCAGAGCGTGCCGACGCGGCATTCGATTGGCTGACGCGCTTCCTCGGTGCGCCGCTCATATTCTTCCCCCTCGCATTCCTTTCCCGTCTCCAGACGGTCCTGCTGCTTTTAGTAGAGGGAGAAATGCCAGCGTGGTTGAGAAGCGGGGCTGTTGAATCCGTGGCAGGTTTTCGAGGCCGTCGCTTAGAAGCCACGCTGGCAAAGCCCGTTCTGTAGGCGGGGAAGATGGGAGGTGTAGTCCGGCATATGTGAAAGACACCGGTTTGTGGAGTGCCTCTGTAAGGATTGACCACACTAAGCAATGGTTTATCTAGGCATAATTTCCTGATAAACCACAATTAACTCATTTAGCACAACACAACAAGCCAACAAGGAGTGTTGGGGAAACTTTATGGTTTAGCTGCATGATTGAACTTCACACTTCAAAATGTCCATCAACAGTGCTTTATTTTCCTACTTCATTAGTACGGGAACAATATTAAGTTTCCCTTTCTTGCTTTTCATCCAGTGTCTTCTGCTTTTTCCTCCCTCTTTGCCTCTCCATTGCCAAACAAGAATTAAAACTAAATTAAGCAGTGAAGATAAACTTAACACGTTTATATCCCACTGGTGGTTCAGAAAGAAACATAGCAGAGAACACTTCAGCAGAGGCTTGTTTTATTTCAAAGGCCTCCAACAACAGGGCAATATCACGGATTTCTCTTACCCCCCTTAATATTTTAGATAGCTTGGGTGAAAGTACAATTTACATCTTAGCCAAAAACTGTCGATGTCCAGAACAATACCAGGAAAACTCTATAGATAAATGAAGGAATGGATAGAGACAAGGAGTAACGATGAGTAGGAGATAACACAACCCAGATAGATATTGTATGTCATAATCACCCAACCTTGAAGATTACATCTGATGAGGGAACACAGGAATCTGATTTCAGGGTTTTTCCACATCTTTTCCAAGGATTACAATTCCTTTCAAGAATTCAGTCTGTCCTGCCCAGTACATTTTTCTTATGTCCCCTCGCACACAGCCAAGATAAAAAAAACACCGCAGTGGAGAAGAGAACCCCTCAACCTGTAAAAAGAGTGTGGCTGAACCAGTCTGCAGAAGATTAGGAATATCTTGTCATGGAGGAGCAGGAAAAAAAATCTCAGGTAGGGGTGAGAAAGAGAACAGGTGTTCAAAGTCAGCGGTCTGTGGTTTTTGCTGTTTGAAATCCTTTCAAGGCAATGTCACTGCTTGATGTTGGTGGAAAGTGGTGCAAAACCTGGAGTCTTTGGGGTAAGGGGAACCCCATTTCTGTATTTGCAGGAAAGATCTGATTAGAGACCCAACGTAGAAAGGGAAAGAGGCATGTTGAGCACTGAGCTTTGCCATGCTTCATTCTCAGAGGGAAAACTAGCTTCCTGTCATTACTGTATGCTATTGCATTATGTATGAACAAATGTGTACAGCTGTGGCCTGCGTGCGCAAGCACGTATCCCGCATACTGCTTGAGGCAATGTAAACATTGCCAAGTAAAAATGAACCCTGCAGTGAAACTGGTCCTAAGATTGCCTCAGCAGCTGAACTGGAGTGTATGTGGACAAGGGGATCTGTAGACCCCTTCTCTTCCCCCATGTTACATTGCAGAAGAAGCCCTCCAGCTGCTTAGCGATCAGGGCGAGGCAGACTCCGCCACAGCGTGGCCAGGAAGGGGGGGCAGCGCAGGCTGAACTGCAGGGCCTCACAGACGTCTTTCTCCAGAGGACACACGACTTTGACGCACAGTTCCGCATCCCGGCCTCCTTCGGCACTGCGGAAAGGCTCTGTCACATCGAAGCGGATGCCGCAGGCTTCCCCGTTCAAAAGCCTTGTGTCCCGTCTCCTGGAACAAGGTTGCAAGAGGTGATGGGGCAAAGAAGGAGCAGTGAGGAGGAGCCGGAAAGGGAACGGCCTGCTCCGATCCAGAGGCTGCTCCAAGTTCAGCAGGACGAAAGCTTTGGTGAGACGGACCCCCCTCTGGCAACGGAGGTGAAGCATCCAGCAGAATTCATCCTGTGCCCCTGTGGGGAAAAGAGATCTGGTCACAGCCAGCCTTCGTTTCTCAGCTGATTTAACCCACGAGGCCAAGATTTGGCTGGACTTCCAGAAGCTCATCTGGAGAATTCTGGGTGACAGAAACCGGATTTACTGGATGATGTCGGTTTTAAAAATGGCAGATCCACCTACAACGCTGGGCTTTAAATCAAGTGGTTGAAAGAATCCACATTTTTATGTATTGATTTCACAACATTTACAGCCTGTTCCTAGCCGACTTTAATATATTGGTGGGGAAGCTGTAACTTCAGACCCTTTTGGACTACAACTTCTGTCAGTTTGAAGCAGAAGGGACAAATGTTTCAACAGAAAAGAAATGCAAGCCGAGTTGGGCCCCCCTGCTTTTGGAGCCCCAGGAATGAAAGGCCTTGGAAATGGCCTGACAGCTGCCGCACAGCTGCCAGGGCGGAGTCTCCAAGCCCATCCCCTGCTTCGGTCTGATTGGCTGCCCAGCTGGCATCCTGTCGGAGCTGTGCCAGGCTCTCTTCCTGCGGCCCTCCCGCTTACCTTGCCTGCCTTCGTTGAGCTTCAGCGACACCGTGCTCTTGACGCTGCCTGTTGCCAGTACCGCTCTGTAGGCTTGGTAAGCGTGGGAGGCGCATCGCAGCATGCAGTTGCTAAATCTGGGCACCAGCAGCTCTCCCTCCTGCGATGCCGCCAAGTCGTCATCTAGAGGGCAAAGTGCCCTCGGAGCCTCCGTCGCCAGCTCCTCGCCTCCGTCGGAGCCGAGAAGAGCAGTGCCCAGGGCCAAGAAGAGAATCAGCCAAGTGTGACCCATTGCAAGCTTCGGGGACAGACGCTAGCATGTCGAGGAAGAGAACAACGGGCAGGCCGAGGGGCTGGATCTCACAGCCACAACAGGCCTGGACTTGCTGCTGCAGCCTGCGCAGATTCCTTTGCCCCCGCCAGCTCCTGGGTGGGTGCCCAGAGGAACAGCCGCCAAGAACCTTTGGAATGCCAGGAGCCAGAGAGGGAACCGGAGACGGGGAGGGAGTTCAGGCTGCCGTGGGAACGTCCACGTTATACAAGATAGCTTGCAGTGGACATTTCCAAGTCCAGCAGAAGAAAACCCAGCTTGTTCCTCCATCCCACCGTTTTGTGCGAGTCGGGACACTGCGTGGCTGCAGCCTTAAGTTGCTGAAACAAAGATGGGAACCGTTGTTTTCCTCCACCTGCCTTCTTGGGCCTGTTTTCATCAATCCGCTGTGGAGGGAGTGAATTAGGAATCTGCTCCTGCTTCCAGGGGCTACAGAAGATGCCGCTAGGCTAGAATCTAGGGCTTGGTGCCAGGCCATTCGGCGACCTCTGGATTGTGAAAAAACAGCCAAGGAGCAGAGCGGTAACCACCCTGTGGGTGATGGCCTTAAGAATGCCTGCTGGAGCATTCCCACTCTCTTGGTTGATTCACCAGGCCCTCATCTTCCCTTTCTTAAAACAAACCTTTAATCCTTCTCATTGAGACAGGATTGTAGGTCCCATCATCCCAAGTGCTGAAGCGGTTTGGAGAGTCTGCTTCGTATCTCAAATGTTTTGGAGAGGTATGAACAGCAAAATGTACTTTGGTACAAATGAAATAACTTGGCACTTTTCATCTTCCTGGTTTATCCCGAGCCGACAAGTCCTGAACATTAGGTTAGCAACTAGAAAAGAGTCAAGCTGCAGACTGTATGTTTGAAAGACGTGGGAATGAATTAAAACCAAGGGATGCACCACTGTTCATTACAGTGTGCTTCCTTTGTCAATCCCTGATCATCCATCAAGAAAAATTTTGTAACAATCCACTTATATTTGCTCCCAAATTGGAATGGCAAAACCTAAAGGTTCTTCCCCAACCCCCGGGGATCCTGTAGCCTTTTCCTTGGGAAGAGCAATGTAATTCTGAGCATTTTTTCTGCAGAAAATCCTCGAAGAGCCCTACTGTATTTCAAAGACAAAGATCTGTAGGGACAGGTTGGTGCCTCCCCCAGTGCCTTAATATTAACTGGTAGGACCTGGAGCAGAAACTCCCCCCATCCTCAGCTCATTGTTTCATTTCTATCCATTCAAGGCACCCATAAGAACAAGGTTCTCCAGCCAGTTTTGGCTGGGGAGTTCTGGGAGTTGAAGTCCACGTCTTAAAGTTGCCAGGTTTGAGAACCAGTGGCTGGGGAATTCTGGGAGCTGAAGTCCACATGTCTTAAAGTTGCCAAGTTTCAGAACCAGTGGCTGGGGAATTCTGGGAGCTGAAGTCCACCTGTCTTAAAGTTGCCAAGGTTGAGGAACCCTGCGTAAAAAACCTCCACCTGAACAGGCTTCCACTCCATGTAGCAAGGGAATAACAAACCTACACCATTTTTTTCAAACTGGTATATTTATTAACAGCAATTTTGTAGTTTTTAAAAAGAAATTTACCATACTGATTGCCAATACGTTTTTTCCAACATATTCCAAATCATCACCCTTTCACATCTCTGAGAAATTCTATCTCAGCTTTTTATTCCTCCGTTAAGCCCAGCAAAACCAAAATCCTTCTTTCCACCTGAGCAGCAGGGCAAGTCGACGGCTTGCGTATTCTTTTCGAAACAGTCTTCAGGGCGACCATTTGAACCTGCATTTAGGGAGATGGAAGAAGATACAGTGATCTAAAATTGAGGAGCTGCTAAGGTAATTTGTAAGTTTCAAAGCATGTTGAGCCTCAAAGATCAGTGTTGTTAATGACAACTTCTTGGAATAGAAAGATTGTGAGATTTGAACTGGGGAGGGGGAACACCAGAACCCAAGAAAAACCCCTGTATTAAATCACATGTCCCTGTCCATCTGAGAAAATGGACTATGAAAATACACATTCAAGGTAACCTGTTTCCCAAAAAGCAATCATATTTATTTATCAGGATGCTTGGTGTAACAAAAGGACTCTCACCTCTTGGATATGGAATTAACAGTAGATTTGAAGCTCTAAAGGTCCAGCAAAACAGCCCAGGAGCCATCTGTGCTAGATCACAGAGAAAGGATACTGGGAATCCCCGTGTGAATTCAATCCAAGCTTAAAAAGAAAAAGTACAAGGTGTAAAGATGGAAGGCAGTCAATAAACTCCTGGACTGACCCAGAGCAGAGCTGGCTTTGGGGTATCAGAGGGACCACTCAGTCACAGGAATCAGACTGGGGCGGTAAGGATTTCATCATTAAGAGCCAGCTGGGCAAACATCAGTGAAATCACAAAAGCCTGGTTCACACGTCCCACTAACCACACAGTGCCAGGCCCAAATGAACCATTCTGTGACTTAGCAAGATGTATGAATCCAGGCAGGATTGTTCTCCCCCAATTACCTTGACTCTAGGCAAGAAAATCATCTCACCAATGCTTTGGGGTGGTCCTTCCAATTTCTCTTCTGCAGGAGGAAAAAGCAACATTTATTTCTATTTCAAATTTAGTCACCGCCCATCTCACTCAGCGAGCAACACGCAAGCCCGACCTCCCCAAGTCCATCACCCCGCAACAGCAACCCATAAGGAATCCAACTTAGAAAACCCGGACCACGTGCAGTTTTTCAGCTGTTCCAAATGTTTTCATTTCATTCAAAGTGAGCTAGTTAAATTCATCATCAAAACTGCAACAGGCAACGAAGATGCCCATTCTACACGGGTCAGTTATGGGAGGAAACAAGGGCTGGAACTTGGTAGAGTTCATCCTCCTGGCAGGAAGGATTTTCGTCCCTCTTGATTGGGTTATGGCATGTTCGTTTGAACTGGCTTTGATCCAGTTCATATGTCATTTGTAAGTCATGGCTAAAAGCAGAGGATATTTGGCAAAACCACCAAATAACCAGTTATTTTAGGCTAAACAAAAAGTCCCATCTGCCAAGATGGAGGAAAACCATTCCAGGTCTTCTCTCCAAGGGCCATTTTTTCTCAGCTTGGTTAACTCTGTTCAAGTTCCAGAAAGTCTGCCCGGATCCTCCAAATTATACAACCGGTTTCCTGAATACCCCTATCCTATAGTCTATCTATTCAGCCAAAGCTGCAGGGGTTAATACGTTAGAGTTGCATCTCCCACTTCATGGCCCAGGAATCGCTGGCGGGCATCCAAAAAAAAAAGATTAATTGTAAAAAATGGCAAAAAGCTCACCAATCCCCCCAAATTCTGAGATTTGAGAGCTGATCTTTGTGGGGGAAAAATCAAGTGATTTCACAAGACAACCCAATTTTCCAGTTTCAGAGCAACGTCACACTGTTCAATTCCTAAACAATGAATTAAACCTGTGCTATATGCAGTGAGTGTCTCTGCCCCCCCCCCTTTAGTTGCCTGTGGTTACTTTATCATAAGCTTCTGCTAGTTTTTGAGAGATTAAATAAAATTAGTTCTGGGATCCACAGACCCCCATCTAGAGGTCACGTGTGGCTGCGGGGACTGCTCTCTCATTTAAACATTTTACAGGCCAATATATTGACCCACAAAAAGGGGGTTGGGACATCTGGGCTTAGTGAAACAGAACTCCAATCTGCTAAGCGCTGTGAGCATCCTGGCAGAGATAGTTTGGAAGCTGCATCAGCCAAGCAGACTCCCCCATAGATAAGAGTAGGGGTCAGCATTTTTTCCTGGGAGGGCCAATGCCAACCTGCCTGCAAGGAAGCAATAATAGGCCCCCAACACCCAGGATGCCTTGCTCTGTGCCCCAGGAACCTGACTGAGGCCTGGGAATCCACACCCACCAGCCCACCCATTCTTAGCTCGTGGGCGGTACAAAAAACAGGCACTAAGCCAGATTTGGCCCACGGGCCGTAGTTTGCCGACCCCGGGTAAGACTAGCCTGAGGAGTTTCTTACCTGTTTATTCCCCATCATACAGGAAAGCACCGTAACCAGCTTCTTCATTCTGTAGGAAATAATTTATCATTAACGTATATTGATCTACTCCCAAGGTAAATTTCGGGACGTTAATAACTTAACAACCCTGTTGCTAGCAGAGCCTTCAAATTTAATTCAGAACCAGCTTCAAGGTTTGGAAATTCCCCCAACAAGGAAAACACACGCATGAATTTTCACTCCAAATTTACAGACTCGAAAGCAGTGTTTCTCAACCTTGCCAATTTGAAGATGTGTGGACTTCGACTCCCAGAATTCCCCAGCCAGCAGGAATTCTGGGAG